TCCCGAGCCCGCGGACGGCTTGGCCGAGGAGACCGAGAACCTCACGGCGGGGCACAGCTCCCGGGCACAGCCAGAGAGAGACGGCCTCCCCCGGAGCCAGAGGCCAGAGAGCTGCCCTGCGGGGTGGCCTGGACGCAGCAGGGGAAACAGGTAAACCGGCGCCTGCTGCGTCCTCCTAACGCCGTATTTACCGGGCGGTGTGGCACGGACGGTGCACGCTGGGCAGACTGACACCGCATCGGGTCATTCCCAAGTTCAAGAGGTGAGCAGGAAGCTGCGGCCTGCTAGGTGCCCGAGAGAGGAACACAGGGATCGCAGGCTCCCCTCTGAGGGACAAACCACTCACCTGGGTGCAGGCCCCAGAGGGCGCAGAGAGCGCCACGCACTTCTCCAGCGCCTGGCGCGCGGTCCCCTGAGCGAGGGCGTCCAGGAGGGTGCTCGCGAGTCCAGCCTTCCGCAGGGTGCTTTGACTCACACCAGCTGTGGAGAGGAAGCCGGTTCAGCTCACTGCGCTACAGATGCAAGCGGGGCCGACCCCCAGGGCGCCCTCTGCCCCGGAACACAGGCTGGGTTGTTACTGTACGCTGTATTCACCTGCCCAGGAGTGATCATTTGGAAAGACAAAAAGTGGAAGCTCGCTGCATGGATAAAAAAGATGGAACACTTCAAACTATGCCTAATTGCTAAAATAAGGCATACAAAGAATAAACATTCTCGTTAATGCAGTAGTTATCATCGGTTTTGAGGCCAATGTATTATATTAAAAGTATTACAATAAAAGCGTATTTAACTTTGTTCTGCCTTTTAAAAATACACAGTAATGTTTGAGCTCGAGATGATACTTCATAAAATACAGAGGATGTCATGAAAAGCGAAGTTCACCTCTTTTCATCCAGTCCTGTCTTTCCCAGTGCTAACAGTCCCAAATTTGTGTCCAGACTTACTGTGTTTTCCGTCACGGACGTGCACACAAGAGCGTATGACTCCACAGAGACGCGAATGGAATCACTGTGTGAGAACATTTGCTTTTTCCACTGAAAAATATGCTTTGGAGACTGCGTCACAAATAGTTCATCCTAAAATAGATCACTGCAACTTTTGAGTGAATACTGTAGATAGCCTTCAGTTATTTAGAAAAAGGTGCAGTGTTGCATTACGGATGCTGCAGCACGTCACAGGGCCCGGGGCAGGCTGCCTTCGTGATGTTTTAAAATGTATTTGAGTGAATAATTGATGTTTACTAATCAAAGACCTAGGGACAGGGCCTCAGGAAAGTAATGACAGTTCCACTGCTGCTCCCTATTGGTCAGATGTTTTAGAATTTATCTCTGGTTCAGAAAAATGCTTCTGTATGTAAGAATTACGCTGTTGTCAAATGAGTCCATTATTTTTCATCATGATTCAATAATAATTCAGTAAAACTGTCATATTCTTGAGAAAATACAGTTAAAGGTGTTTCTCTTAAAGAGAATAGTACGCATTTAAGAGTCTAACTTTAATTAGGTTTTCTCCCACTTAAAGAGTGGGCCTTGGTTTGGGGCTCCCTTTGGCCAGCAGGCGTTGTTTGGTTCCAATGTTTGGTTTTGGTTATGCAAGAGAAACCCATTCCAGAGCCAGCCCCACTTACATGCCAGGCAGCCCCCGGGCAGCACGCTGGCCAGGTTCAGGTACGGGTTCTTACTGAGCCTGATCTCCCTCGGGGGATCTCCCAGGAGTGAATTCCGGCCCTTGGAGGCGGCCTGTTCATCAGGGACAAAGGTGAACGTTCAGCAGGACACACGAGAAAGGCTGCACCGGACAGAGGGGCCCTTAGTTCCCAACATCCAGTCTCATGTGACTAAGGTGTGACCTACCTGGTGGTACAGACTTATGAAATATTTATGGACCGTGATCAAAACTTAAAATGATCACATTTCATCTGTTATTTTTTCAATTGGCTTTTTAAAAAAAACTGTCCTAGAAACAAACAACTTTAGAAATGAAATAGAGGTAAAAATATCTTTACAATCTTCTCACTTAAAGCTGAAAGAGTTCATCTTCACTAGAAAAAAATAATCTCAAATCTTATTTCTAGAAATAGTCTTCAGCATCTATTATTATGATTTTTATTTTACATCTGATGGCCATAACCAAAGGTCAGAGGAAAGCTTATTTGTCTCTAGTGCTAAAAATATTACCAAGCCCAATAGGCGCATTTAATAAACTCCAAGTCTAAATTTGGGGAGAAGGCTACGAATTCACAGTTCTCCAGAACACCTCCCGTCCCATGTTTTCACACAACTAGTGAGGTACAAGGGTGCCAGCCTCTCTAACAGATACAGACGTGGAGGACCGCAGTGCATTTCATTTCCTCCTGGCCAGATTTGTCCACTTTTCTCTCGGGTTATAAAAGACACGACTCCGGTTAGGGTCGGGCCAGCACCCGCTGTGGTCTGGCAAAACTGATGGGGGACAGACCTTTTGTCTGTGCTCTTCCTCCCTGAGTGCGTGCCTGCTGCGGGGGATGCTCGTGTTCCCCGGGGGGCTTCCCTGCTCCCTCATCTCCTGGTTCCCCCTTCTCATCTGCAAGAGAGCTGGTGCATGTTTTTGTTTTTTAGTTTTTTTTTTTTTTTTTTTTTTTTTTTTTTTGGTCCTGGGTACTTTCAAGGTAGGTGCCATGCCACTTAGCTAAATCCCTGGCCATTATTTTTTTCTTTTTTAACCTATTTGTGGTACTTTCCTAAAAGCTTATTGTAGATAATTATAGAGATTTAAAAGAAAAGTTTTTTTTTTTTTTTTTTTTTTTTTTTTTTTTTTTTTTTTTAAAGAGGGCAGTACTGAGGCAGAAAAGGAAACTATTAATAAATCATCCTTTCCAGGACACAGCAGTGATCCAATGTGTAACCCACATTTCTAGACCTTAAGTATACTACTGACAAGTAAAACCTTACTTTTTAAACACCATCATTGTGCCGCCTATAAACTAAGCACAGCCCGGGACAGCCTCATGTTGGGTCACCAGGTCCTGGCCCCGAAGGACCACCGCGAGCGCAGCGCTGCCTGCCTCCTTACCCCTGAACCCGGTCCTGCTGGCTGGTTCTGTGGCTGCCTGGGGGGTTCGGACAGCAGGCCCCCAGCAGCGAGGCTGGCGAAGCTCTGCGGATACAGCTGAGGGCCCGGGAAGCTCCCTTCTGCCACACCCACGGCGGCTGAATGCTGCTCCCGCCTGGAGCCTGGGCCTGCCGGTCCCACGCTGCGCTGGCCGGGGAAGAAGGGCAGTAGCCCCACGGTGGCGGGCAGGGTCGCCAGAGTCGGAACCAGGTTCAGGGCTGTGGGACACGAGGGGCAGGCTTGGTTACACGTGTCCTCCGACAGTGTCCCCCACGCACACGGACACTCGGTCTATCCCCTCCAGAGTGGCGCAGGAGGCTCAAAATCAAGAGCCTCCAGCAGCAACAGCACTGTCTTTTTCAGTACCTCCTAGGGTAATCTCAGTATATGGTGTTTTTGTTTTTTGGTACCAGGGATCCAACTCAGGCAGGCAGCAGAACCACTGAGCTAAATCCCCAGGCCTGTATACAGTGTCTTTTAATTGCAAGTTTTAATTGTAGACTTTAGAAGCCTATGTACCTTTTGTAAGTTATCTGTGCGTGTTTCTGTACACACACTTGTTACACACTCAGCTGGGAAGGTGTGCAGGACCGGACCAAGGATCCTGGGAGTTGGCACAGACAGAACTCTCCCCCACACCCAGGCCTCCTTGGTGGAAGCCACCTCCGAATTTCCCTCCCAGCACAACCCGGGCTCTGCTGCTACCTGACTTCCGGGGACAGTGACTTCTTGCCTGGTTTTGAACATTAGTTAAGCCAAGGCATGAACCCTGCCTCCTCCGCTTTCTCTCAGCCATGCAGGGCAGGCAGCTGTGGTATGTTCCTTCACGTGGCTCTGGGGCATTTTCTCTCTGTTGTGCCAATAGATCGTAACCTACCTCTCTTGGGGAGTCTGTGTCCCCAGCCCCACCGTCTCCCTTATGTTACATCCGGGCTCTGGAAGGCCCAGCCTTACAACTCGTCATCTTCCACATTTGAAGGCCATGGTGAAGTGTTACAAGGCGTCTGAGGAGGTTTGTGCCAGCGCCAAGGCCGAGTGCCCCTGTGTCATCTCAACTCGGGGTCACCGGCAGGGTTCCCCAAAGGAGACGGGGCACCCCGCCCACGGGGCAAGCTGTTGGCCCTCTGACTCCCCCACAGAGTTTTCAAGATGTGACAGCAAAGGCATAAAGAGGGCTAAGATCGGGCAGGATTTTAAAAGCACACACGCAGCACAGGACACGGCTTTCAAGAGGGAGACAGGTGCCGGCGGCAGTCGGGTTTCCTGGGGTGCCTGGGGCGTGCACCCCACTGTCTGCCAGGTGACCCACTGGGCCAGGTTAGGGTGCGAGCCCTGAGCACAAGGCTGCAGTGCGGGATCCGCTGCCCTGGGCCGTGGACAGTCACGGGCGTGCTGCTTGCGTCCTTAGGCCCTCGGATTCCTCTTTCCTTTGGACCTAGTTTCCTGGATGGGAAAAAGGCTGAACTAACTTCTGTCCTGCAGCTGCACTCTTCCTTAAAAGTACACTTTTTAAAAGTACAATTCTCTTTGTCTCCTTTCTACCTGTCTTTATTTCTTCTACCCTACCCGGTCCTGTGTAAGTTCTCTACACTGCTAACGGGAAGTGGCCATTGTTGGAGAATAAGCCTGGAAATCCAAAACCGGTACATGTCAAGGCTTTAAAAAAAAAAAAAAAAAAACACTAGAAAGCTGCTTGTTAAACACCAGCAAACTGCTGGTTTATTTTTAATTAGCAGTATTTTTACAAATAGCAAGAAATTCTGAGAAAAATTAAAGTTTCAATAGGAAAATCTGAAACCATTCGTTTTTTAAAATCCACAGGTCAAAATTAAATGAAAATAGCTAATTTTGATAACTTTTAAGTCAAATTTACATTTAACAAATTTACAAAATAAATTTAAGTAACTTTAAGTATTAAGTGGATATTTTGGTTCTCCCTTTACTGATGTATTTATTTGGACACTGAATTTTCAGTGTCCTTAAAGCAGCACATACTATCGTGAACTGTTGATTATTTGACATGAGTAAATATTTTGGATAAGCTTTCAGTCACGAAAAATTTTAAATTTTTTGGAAGAACAGTCCCTACTATCCCATAAACTCCTCACTGGTTTCATGTTTGCCTGGTCAATTTTAACAGTCACAGTGGACGATTTGGTCACATGACTAGCTGGCTTCTGGCAGAAAGGCTAAGTGCGCTCCCCGTGTTTAACTGGCTTTTAAATGACTGTGGCGCTTGGCTTTCCCTGAGCAGAATCATGTGTAAGACTGTTTCCAACTACGCTTCAGACTGAAAGCACCTTTCAAAAATCGCATTCGGTCCGAAAGAGTCAGACAGCAGCTTACAGTGATCCATGACTCCTGGAAGCCACCGACACGTCCGCCAGCAGACGAACGGATAAGGAAAACGTGGTGTTTGCACACCACGGAGAACCACTCTGCCCTAAAGGGGGAGGAACGAGGCATTTGTAGGAAATGGATGTGCTTGAGAAGTGAGATACATCAGACACAAGAGCTTCAATATCACACGGTTTCTCTCGTGTGAGAAACGCAAACTGTAAACAAACTAAAGAGCAATGAGAGGGGAGAGGGGAGAGGGGGCTGCGCCCGCACCGACTGCCAGGAGGGATGCACGTGTTATGCACGGCTAACACCGACTAATAAACACCTAAAACATTTAGAAAAACAAAAACCACGTTCAAATAAGGAACCACGGTGAGGTGCCACGCTCTTATTTTTCTAGAAAAAACAAAGGCCAGTCTGCTCGGTGCCCCGAGGCGCCCAGGGCACGCGTGCTCTCCCGGGGTTTGGAGACGGGGCCCTCCCAGCTCTGAGACCCGGGGTTTGGAGACGGGGCCCTCCCAGCTCCGAGACCCATCTGTGTTGCCAGGGGAGGCCCTGACCCCAGCGCCGCCTGCGGGCACCACGCACATTTACTTCCGGGCGCCTCTCCCGGGGGTCCCAGCTCCTTCTTCAGCGGCAGCGCCGGCCCCATGCCGAGTGGAGTCTGCAGGACCAGGGCCGGGGGGTCCCCGAGCAGGCCAGGCTTCTGCAAGAGAAGGGCAGACATGCGCTGAGCCGGGACAGCGGCGCGACTC